GCCCATGTCTACACTGAATCATTTGGTGAGAAGCTAGTTTTGATCCCATTAATGTATCTAATATCCCAGGATACATAAAAGTAGTAGAAGTGCAAAGTTCTCACATTTATGATCATACTGTTTATGCTTAATCCAACTCAGATTCAATCACCTCAAAGCTTTCCAGGAACTGTGATATTTATATAATTTCCCTGCCAAGTTTCCATGTTAGGCATATGAAATTTGTTTTTTGGACTCCAAATCTCAGAATTCTCCACTCTAAGGGTTTTTTTGTGCCAGACCCACTGCTTAATTGTTCTCACCTGGAGAAAAGAGTGAGTTAGAAGGATTCATACTTCATGACACAGAGTAGTCAGAGCTCCAACCTAGCTGCCTGTTAGGAACAGACATTGCCCTCAAGCTTGCTGGGAGTTCCTAACTGTATGCATCATGAACAGCTATGGATTCTGCCTCACCATTTCAGTGTTGTACAAATAACCTGTACTCTATACCAGTGGTCCCCAACCTTTTTGACACCAGGGACCAGTTTAGTTGAAGCCTATTCTCCCAAGGACCGAGAGGAAGGGTACTTGTTATGCAGTAGGTTGTTGGAGGATAGCTTCGAATCAAGCTCATTACATATATTATGCCTTTCATTTCTATTATCATTACATTGTAATATATGAAATAATACAAGTCATCATAATGCAGAATCAATGGGAGCCTGTGCTTGTTTTTCTGCAACTACAGTCCCATCTGCAGGGGGATGGGAGACAATGACACCTGAAGTGTGTTTTTTATGTCCAATCTACTGTAATCTTGTTTTGATTGCTGTCATAGTAGGAAGCCCTGCTTCACAAAGATAGGATGTTAGAAACGGAAGCAAGTTTTTCAGTGCTTTTGTGGCAATCTCAGGATATTCCACTCTTACTTTAATCCAGAATGTATGGAATTTGAAGTTGTCCCAAACATACTTTTAAGGCCACCATCATTGCGATCTCAAGCAGTTTATCCTCTTCTGGCATGGATAAAGTTGACTCAGCTTGCTTATTCAGAAGTGTGTCACTGATCCATTCCTCTTCATTTCTAGGGTCTTTTGGGAAGTAATTCTCAAAACTCTTTTGAAAGCTGACAGGTGATCATGCACCAGTTGCGAGAAAGGCGGCCCTGGCTCAGTCCCTTTCAAAATATCTGCTAAAGTTAGAAACATGTACAAAAATCCCAATGCCTACTCATCACCCCCATAATTCTAGTTTGGCTTTGAATTTAGCCACTTCATCTACTGACTTAAAAATAGTTGTCATTCTCCCCTGAAGTGACAGATTGAGTTTATTGAGCAGGCTGAATATGTCACACAGGCAAGCAAGTTTTGCAACCCATTTTGTGTCACTGAAATGTGCTGCCATTGGTGATTGTTCTTCTACAAGAAATCTCTGGAGTGCCTCTCGTAACTCAAAAACTCTGGCCAGTGATCTACTTTTAGAAAGCCATCTTATCTCTGTGTATAAAAGTTGTGTGTGCTCTACATCCATCTCCTCACAGAACTGTGCAAACAGACATGAGTTAAGGGCATGTACTTTAATGTAGTTGATAATTTTAATCACATCCTACAAAACACTGTTAAGTTCAGGTGGGTTTTTTTGGCTACGGATGACAGTGTGTTGACTCACATTCAGAAGTGAACTCCTTGACTGAGTAGTGAAACCAGAAATCCGTCCAGTCATGGCAGCCACTCCATCTGTGCATATACTGACACAAAATGACTACTTCAGTTTTCCTGACATGTAATCATTCAAAGACTGGAACAGCTCTGCAGCTATGGTGTTGGCTGGTAATGAAAGTGCACATAGCATATTCTCATGCACATCCTCATGAAAAATATATTGCAGAAAAACAAGCATTGTTGCCTTGCTGTCAACGTCACTGGACTTGTCCACCTGGAATGCGTACCATGGTGATTCTTTAATTCTCTGTTTCTCAATATCCTCTATTTCATCAGTTCATCTAGTTATGGTGCTAGCTGAAAGAGGAAGACATGCCACCTTTTGAACTGCAGCCTCTCCTAAATGTTCATGGCAAACGTCCTTAGCAGCAGAAAGGATTAACTCTTCATCAATAGCAAAGGGCTTCTTAGCTTTAGCAATGCAGTTAGCGACCAAGAATGATGCTTTCAGTGAAGACACATTTGATGAAGTGTTGGCCATCAAGAATTGCTTTTGTTCTTTGTGTTCACATTTTTTTTTGAAAAACACCAAAGGCTTGTCTTTTAATGTGGAGTGCTTGGTCTTTGTGTGGCAATTTTGATGATTTCATGGCTTCACTGAATGACTGCTCACCACATATTATACAAAGCGGGCTTGAAGAATGTGAATCATCCACTGCAATGAAGCCGTAACTTAAGTAGGATTCTCAGTATTTTCTTTTAAATGCAGCTTTCTTTTTGTTGGTAGTCTTAGGGTTTTCTAACTGTCTCATCATCGGGTCTTTCCCCCTTTGCAAAGAAACTCTCCAGTGATGTTTGTTTTTTACTCAGTTTGGCTAGGGTTAGCTTGTGGGCTTACCAAAACTAGTGCGGACAGAAGGGGTAAATAAAATAATGGGCAAGCCATGCCAAACTAAAATAGATGTTGGGATTTGAAAGCCTGTCACCAGATGCTGCTGTGAGGTACCAGCAGATGCCACTGACTGAGACTTTCCAGATAAAACATATGTTAGAAACTAGATATAACAGCTTATTCTTAATAGCAGTAAAACGGCATTATATAAATTATAATGGTAATATACACTGGCCAAGACTCATTGTAACTCAGGACCAGATCAGGCAAGATGAGCAGTGAGCAGGAAGTTGATGGAATATTGGTTTATGTCTGATGGCACATGATTTAGATGGGAGCTGTTTATCTCTAGTATGTAGGATATTCTCCTAGATCAGCCTATCTCAACCAGGGTTCCTCTAAAGCTTGCCAGGAGTTCCTTGAGCAAGGAATATTTCTGCCTCAGATAAGTTTCCACACTAGTAACAAAGGAAATAGCGAGTAGGAGCAAGAGGTGAGCTGCAATTGAAGCTCCATCCCATTAGATCAGCAGCAGCTTAGAACCTAATAGGAGTGCAGGCTTCTGTCAGACTCTAATGCCACAGACACAGCTGATCTAGCAGCAGCAGAAGGTGAGCAGGGAGTGAAGCTCTGCCTCCTGTCAGATTAGCAGTGGCATTAGAACATAATAGGAGCATGACAGAAGGCAGAGCTTCACTCACCGCTCATCTCCTCACCACTCATCTGTCCTGGCGGCCCAGTCCTTCCAAGGCCACGGACTAGGGATTGGGGACCCTTGCTCTAGATAAGAAACTACTATTGAAACTGAACACGGAGAAACAGAGCACTTTCCCATAGGCAAAGGCATTAGACAAGAGAGTATTTTATCTCCCTATCTGTCCACTCTGTATGCAGAACTAGACTTCGACTCAGATGGAATAAGAATTGGTGTAGAAATGTCAACACTCAAGATATACAAATGACATCATACTACTGGCAGAAAGTGGCAATGGCTTGAAACAATTCTTGTTAAAGGTAAAGTGCAAAAGCAAGGCTGCAGATTTATATTAAGAAAACAAAAATCATGTCTACAGAAAAATTACTTAACATTGACAATAAAGACAAAAGTTGCTCTACCATAGTTCAGTCATCAATCCAAATGGAGACTGCTGCCAAGAATTCAAAAGAATACTGAGACATAGCTATGAAGAAATTCAAAAAGATCCTCAGGTGCAAGAATGTTTCACTGGAGACCAAGTTGAAGATAATCTAAACTACACTATTCCCAATTACTATGTACACATCTGAAAGCTGGACAGTGAAGAGAATCAACAGGAAAAAATGTGTTTCATTTCAAATGTGGTGTTTAAGGAGAGCTTTGTGAATCTCACGGACTGCCACAAAGATTGGTCTGTAGATCTAACCAAGCTGGAACTCTCCTTAGAAGCAAAAATGATTAAACTGAGCCTATCATACTGTCGGTGCATCACAAAAGACACTCACTGGGAAAGAGCAATTCTGAGAAAAGTTGAAGACAAGAAGAAAAGAGGAACATCACCTAAGAGATATATTGGATCAATAAAGGATGTTCATTTCCAAACATTGAGCAGGACTGCTGATGACAGGACATTTCAGAAGTCACTAATTGAAGGTTTGTATTTCTAGTCTCACAGCTCCTAGCTTAAAGCTGCTGCAACATACCTTCGCAATCTCTTTGGACTAACTGGACATCACAGTGGCCTCCCTTTGTTGAACTGTAAAATCTTTTCTTGATAACACAACTTCTGTGAAGATCAGCACAAAAAAATACAGATGTTGCCTGCACCAGACACTAGAATGTGTTATTGCAAATCACGAATGCAGTTCACAAAAAAATAGCGCAAGCTGAAGCCCTCTAATATTATTGTTGTTGGTGTTGAAAATCCAGTGGTTAGGTGATCCAAAATGCAGCCAAAGTTTAAATAGAAGGCTTTGCATTGTATTTGGAATAGTCTCCACGGTGAGAACTACAATAGAAAAGTAATCAGGTTAATTCAGGTTAACCTCATGAAGACATTTTGAAGGGCCAAATGCATGACAAAAAATCAGTTGAGAAAGGAATTTTATTTCAAGCTTCTAAGGGGGTATTACAAACCATAGATAATAAAAACATTAGAAACTATTCCAAAATTGGCTGTAGCTTTAAAATAAAAATTCAAGCAAGTTTTACAATGAAGAATGCTATTCAATGAAACCGTTTAAAAGATTTTCAAAGTACTGGCTTTGCCATATTTGCTAACTCAATATAAAAAAAAAGCTGGGCATAAATATCCGTGCATTCATATGCATTATTTGGTGTTGCATATTATATACCTTGGTACAGTATTTAAGTTATCACTGAAGAGTCCAACGCAGTGCACTTATAAATAATGTAGTCATTATAAATCACATTGAAAACATACTTGCCATTTTCATTGTTACAAATTCAGTATTCCAGTGACATAGAAATAAAGTAGCTACAACAATCAATAGTTTGACTTTATTTTTTAATATAAAAGTTATTACTGGAAACCCACCCTACCATTTTCCTTCCCTAAATGTAATGCTTTACCTCTCTGAAATAAAAATAAAGTACTAATTCTATATACATCACATGTACCATACAAAAATGTATCCAAAGTTTCTATTGCTACCAAAGTGTTCTAAAATTAAAAGTTACATAAATCCCCTCATTGAAACAAAGATTACAAGTTACCAAAAAAGGTCAAATTACACACAATCCATCAAGTTATTTTATACAACCATTTCCAAGACAGCTTTCTCTCCCAAAGCAAATTGTCATATGTGCCTGTATAAAAATGTATATCAATATACTTTCTTATTTATTTCTCTTTATAAAGCAAAGTAATACATTTTCTACAATAAATATAACATAGGGAGGCACATAAAATCCAGGGAGATAGATGAGATATGGTTTTTGCACGAAATATACTTGGAGGCTTTAAGCCAGGTTTGCGTAAAACACAAATAATTTCTAAAGTGATATTCTGGACAACGATGGAGTGTTTTTGGTGATTTTTCAAGTGATATACATAGCATAACTTTATTTCTGTTGTGTCTCTCACAAAGTACCTTCCAAAATAATGTGATTTTTTCTCTCATAAAATACACATTTGTTGTAGCACATTTACATCTTAACTATGCAGTACTTTGTGAAAAGAATAATGGTTTATGGAAAAATGAAACATTCAGAGGTCTTGTTAAAAAGCTAGAAATCACATAAAGTTACATAAGCAGCACCATATCATAATATATGATTAAGCCAAATCTATCTGATGTTATTTACTTCAATACTCATTTAGCACCTAAAGCTGGAAGATGGTGCTTAGTATTTTTTTAAATGTGGAAAGAAACGGAAGTGACAATCTATCCCTTTCCCAGCCAAACAGAAGAAATAAAAAAGCTACGTCTAAAATCAGAATAAGTTAAAAGTTGAATATACATATATGTACAGTTTATGAACACTATGAACAAGATATTTTAGTGAGAAATCTTCCAAACTGCAACGTAATGTTAAAAAAATGTATTTTTTAAAAAAATCAATATGGCAAGGTGATTCAGAGGAGCTGCTAAACCAGTTAAGTCTGTAAAACTCTGCCACTGGATCAATGATTAAGAAGCTGTCTTCAATACATTCTTGTAGACAAAGAGGTTAATTTGTAGGTATCTATATAAGGTATCTTTGTGCCTTGATGACAACTTAAGTTAGTCAATATCACTGAAGTCACTGACTGGTTCTCCATGAACTCTACTTAAGTGGTTCATAGCTCGGTCAAAAGCAACTCTAACAGCTTTCCGAATACTTGAGTTCCGACCTTCCATCATTTTTAACTTGTCTATTGTTTCATCAATCCCAAGTGGAATCATTTTGGATTTTGGAAGCCACTGCCTATAGGTGGATAAAACACAAACCATATGTAAAGTTAGTATATAATGTTTTTAAAATCCACAAGGTGAAGATCTTATGCAATATTTAAATGTGTTTATACTCCATTTAGATTTTAAAGAATGCTTATGGCAGTTTACAACCAGCATCACTTGAATAAATTTTTTTTAAAAAAAATTCAATAAGAAACCATACAGAATGTATCAATAGCTGTGGAAAATACAAAGTAAGATTTAAGAAATATAGCAAGTGCCCTGCTGTTTTACTTAACCATACCAGAGAAGTATGTTAGAACAAATATGATTTAATCCAATGTTTCCATCTTTACAAGGGATGTGGTGGTACTGCGGGTTAAACTGCAGAAGCTCTGTGCTGCAAGGTCAGAAGACCAGCGGTCGTAAGATTGAATCCACGCGACAGAGTGAGCTCCCGTCGCTTGTCCCAGATCCTGCCAATTTAGCAGTTTGAAAGCATGTAAATGCGAGTAGATAAATAGGTACCACCACGGTGATAAGGTAATGGTGTTCCATAACTAGTTCCGCTGGCCACGTGATCACGGAGACTGTCTATGGACAAACGCTGGCTCTACGGCTTGGAAATGGGGATGAGCACCGCCCCCTAGAGTCGAACATGACTGGACAGAATGTCAAGGGGAACTTTTGCCTTTACCTTCCATCTTTACAGTGCAAACAACTTTCTACAGTCGGGAGAAATGCCCTATTTTGTGCAGGTACTTACTTGGAAAAGGAATGTGCAGCAAACCCTCATGGAAATCTCACAAAGAGGACATGATGGTATGGAAAATGTATTCTGAGGTATCCTGAGCCCCAAGCTAATTAAAAACTTGATAAGGTCATAATTTGTACTGAACTCAGGAGTAAATGCTAACATACCTGAGCAAGAACCGGAGAAGTTATATTCTCTGCATTCACTACTAAATAAAAGGCAGGCAAGTGAAGTCTTGCACCACCTATAGTTTCCAAACCGTGTAAGGAAAAGCATAATATATTGCATTTTACACATTATTTTGTCTACAAAATTACCAGGAGCCATCAACAGTCCTGAAATGACATGCATGTTCTACAGCAATCCTCCCCAATCTAAATGTGAACTACAATTCTTGTCATCCTTGGCCAGCATGACCTCCATGTTGGTTGGAGATAATAAGAGCTGTAGTTCAATATGTCAGGTTACTCTACATGACAGGACACACACTGTAAGACAATTACAACTCATTAAAGAGCCCAGGAGCAAGGTGTGAATCAGAGATCTCAGGTAAATGTGTTTCCATTTAAGACAGTCAATCATGCCTTCCACAATACACCAGTTCTTATCCAGAGTGTGTCTATTTTGTATTGCTATACTATCAATATATTAATATGCCAAGGAAATGTGTGCCTCTACAAAATTTGAGAATTCAAGAGTTTGTGCAAGATGGAAACTAAGAAGGCAGAGAACAATTTTATTTGGCATAACAAAACAGAATAAAGAAGTGACCCAATTAAAAAACATTAAGAAACAGAAAGGGGAAGGAGAAGGAGAAGAGGAGAAATACAAAGGGGGGGAAGCAGAGAAAGTTCTAAAACATACTTCTGTGGCAGATTAAAAAAACTTGGAGGAAGAGCAGAAACTGTGGGTAAAAATCTGCAGTGAGTCATTCTCAATGAAAAATGGTGCTCAATTATAGATAATTCTGCATAGTTTTGCAGAACCATCCCTGTTTTGTGACCCAAAGAAACCACAAATGATTAAGGAGCAAATGTTTTAAAAAGCCAGTGAACAGCCAAACTGTTACAAGTATATCATGTGGTTATTTAGAGTTTTGTAGACCAGTGATTCCTGACCTTGGATAACCCAGGTGTTCTTTAACTGCAGTTCCTAGAAGTCTTCACCACCAGCTGTGCTGGCTGGGGCTTCTGGGAATTACATTCAAGAACAGCAAGACTGAGAACCAGTGTACCAGACATGTATGTTTCAGTATGAGAAAGCAAAGTGACATACATTCTGTAACAATAAAAGAATTATATCTCAATGACGATGAGATATCTGATAGAAATACATTTTTCTGAAACTGCAGCTGTTACACCCCCAATTGGGCAAGGTTAATGGAATATTGTTTTAAAACACAGAACACACAAAGTAACAAGAAATTAAGGCTAGACATAACAAATACAGGGCAAAATCCTGTTAGTGCAGGCATAATCTAAAGTTATGCCTGCATAAATGTATCAGGCATTATGCCTGGCAACAGGGAATCACAGTTCAACTGCACACCTGGTTGTGCAATTGCCATTGCAAACAATGTGCAGTTTTCAGGGAGAAGTGGCCATGTATAGCACTTCTGCTTGGAACTATTGCAGCTACTGTGGTTGCAACACTGATTTAAACTCACATAGCTATACAAGAAGATTTTGCCCACAGTTACTGTTCATTTATCTTCTAGTCAATGAAACTGCCAGCAGTTTTAAAAATACTTTTGCTTCAATTATGAGCTAGGCTTCCAAAATCAATATGTTCTACCAAACATGACTGTGTGCTTATGATGTCTGAAATCTCCATCCTTTCGCACTTGAACTTGTGTTCCACGCTTATCTACTATTTTCACAAGAGGCCACTTTCAAAACAAGAGCCGTGGGTATCCATCCCCTAAACTCTCAGCTTCCCATACAGCTCAAATATACAGGACTTCTCAGTGAGAGCAGGAGTGTACATACCAACTTCTTTTATTGTCAAAAAATAAAACCAAGAAAAGCTTCTCATCTGATTTGGTCTGCATTTGTTCTCCAATTTTCAATACATCAAGGGGTGGCACTGGTATTGTAACACCATTGTGATGACCAGCAACACGAGGCATTTTAGGATCAATTATCTACAAAAGGAAAAAGTAAAGAACTGTGAATTATCTATAAAACGAGAAAGGAAAGGACTGTAAATTCCTACTCTTTATTTGCAAAAAATTATTTTATATAAAAATTCTAGACCAAATCTAAAATTGATGGGTTAGATTAATAGTTAAGTGTGTGTAAAGGGCCAATGAAGGCTGATTTACTTGCACCCTTTTTTCCATATGGGCTGCCCAGCAGATGCTCAAATAGAAGATTTGGAGACTGCTGAACGGATGGATTCTTACGCAAGAGGCTAAGAAGGGAGCATCCCTGAACAGTGAACAAAGTCAACTTCTATGCATGCTCAGTTCTTGATACATTCCACAGCACACAAACACAGATTCAATTTATATACAGTTTACTTAATACAGGAAAGCAGTACTTGCACAGTGGACGATGGTGTTACTTCTCATACTGCTGACACACAAGAGATGTTTCTACAAAGTCCCCAGTTCCTACAATAACATATCTAAAATAACCAATATTCAGCTATTAATCACATTTTTTAAAAAAAAATCTAAAACCTAAGTTTATTTTACATTATGTACCTACTTAGCACAAACACACTGGAGTTGTTGCTATGTGCTATAAAGTTCCTTCCACTTGTGATGATGCTATGAATGAGGGACCTCTAAAATGTCCTGTCCTCAACAGTCCTGCTCAGTTCTTGTGGCTTCTTTTAAGGAGTCAATCTATCTCATATTTGCTCTTCCTCTTTTCCTGCTGCCTTCACTTTTCCCAGTAGCTCTTGCCTTCTCTCGATGTGCCCAAAGTACAACAGCCTCAGTTTCCTCATTTTTGCACTCAAAGTCCCAGTTTGATTTATTTATCTAGGGTATCTGCAAAGCTCTCCTCCATCACCATATTTCAGAAAAATCATTTTTTTTTACTGTCCATTTCTTCACTTTCCAGCCTTCACAAATGTACATAGCAATCATGAATACAACATAGATGATCTTGGCCTTCATCTCTAGTAACATGTCCTTTACACTTCAGAATTTTTTTTAGTTCTTTTCTTGCTGTCCTGTTGAATCTAAGGTCTTCTGATTTTTAGGCTGCCATTTCCATTTGGACTGATGACTGAATGAATTCAATGGCAGCATTCAAGTTAAGTAGTTTTTCTGTAGTCATAGTACTTGCCTTCTTAATATTCAACTTTAGTCCAGCTTTTTACTTCCTTTTCCTTTCATCTGGTCCTTTCAAATCATTGCTGCTTTCTGATAGTAATATGGTATCATCTGCATATCTTATGTTATTGATAGCTTTTCCACCAATTTTCACTTTTCCTTCATCTGGATCTAATCCAGCTTTCCATATGATATGTTCTGTATACAGATTGAACAGACAGGGAGTTAAATACGCCCTCATCTGACACATTTGCCTGCAGAAAACAATTCTGTTTCTCCATATTCTGTCCTAACAACAGTTTAACCAGTTACCTCGGGAGTTGGTGAGGGCTCCAACACTGGAGGCATTCAAGAAAAACTTAGATAATCACCTGGCAGATATGCTTTGATTGTATTCCTGCATTGAGTAGGGGGATGGACTTGATGGCCTTGTAGCTCCCTCCCAACGTTACTTTTCTATGATTCTATGAACAATAGTATTGTGGACAAAAAAAAAAACTAACAGTAGCTTCTTCTCAAGAATACCAAGACAATCAAGTGCTGAGGCACGTGTATTTCTTTCAAAAAAACAAAAAACAAAAAAACCTCAGTTTCTCATTATCTAAACAACCAACATCTAGATCTACAACTTCTCATGAGCCACAGTCAAAGGTTTTGTTGTAGTCTAAAAATTTATTTTGAAATTCTTTGCAGAGCCTCAGTAGCCTGTGCATATTTGTCATATGATTCCAAGTGCCCCTTCCTTTTTGGAATCCAGTTTCAGTATCAGGTATTTCTTGCTCCATATAGGGTAAAACATTGTTGCAATACCCTCAGCAACACTTTGCTTGCATGGGAAATTATTACAATGGTACTATAGTTACTGCATTTTTGCCACCTCCTTTCTTGGAGATTGGAATCCATATAGAATGTTTCCAGTCTGTGAGCTATTATTTTGTTTTCCATATTTGTTGGAATATTCTTATTAGTTTTGCCAGATTCAGTCTATGCAGTTTTGGAATAGTTCTATCAATATTTAATACCAGTCTAACTGATATTATTCAGTCAGACCTTGCCTTACAGTCTTTAACTGACTTTGCTACATGCCATCTTGGTATTACAGCCACTCCATTTCTTCCAAGTCTGTCACTTCAAAAGTGAAACACTTTGTAGTTGTCTGACTGACAATGTCTCATTCCGATCCACTTTAGTTCACTGATACCAAGGACTGCAATATTTAAACATACCATTTTTTACTTTAGAGTTTCCAGTTTACCTGGATTCATACTTCTCATATTCCATGTTCCAGCTGTATGTGTCATGCAACATCAGATGAGCCTTTCTGTGTACATTAAAGCCACTAGATGACATTTCGGCTTTAATCAAGTTGCCTAATTAGTGACAACGGGGGATACAGAAGGAGACAAACTAAAGAATGTGAAGACTGTGAATATGTTCAGGGTTTCCCTGGGCCATGACAGCATCCTGTGAGCTGATCCATCCACTCCATAGGTACCACGGGATTACTTATGACACAAATGAAGATTAGCAACAATGGTATTTGTACTTGTTTCTTCCTCTTCCGCAGCAACTGATTGTCTGTCTTCTGACCTGGGAGCCTCATCTTCCAGTAATACTGCATCTTTCACTATAGACTGTCACAACACAAGATTTTCATGGGATGAAATATTTAGAAGTGGCTTACCACTGTCTTCTTCTGCACAGTCCTAACGTAAGTTAACTTGAGTGTCACAGCTTTTGTTTCTGAAAGATCCTCCAAAGTGTTACCTTCCACTACTGCTGCGGCTCAGTAGCTACCCTCTATGAGTTTCCTCTGCTGAAACCATTCTTTTCTGTTTATATGACAATTTAATCCTGAAGAGGATGAACTGCTGCTTAGACTGCTGTCTCAGTTTTGACCATCTCACCTTGGGTGACTCTGCTATGAGTTCAAGCTCATGAAGGACTCTAGCCTCCTAGCAGCATTGCTCTTCTCTGATGCACTCAAACCCCCTCACTATGTTAAGGTGAGTATCCAAGAGGCGCACTAGATCTGTGGAGATCTGGTTAGTCAATTCCTCTATAAGTTCCACTGATTCAAGCAGGCCTACTCTATTTATAAATTATTACTAATAACTGTTAGATATCTCAATGGTTTAAGCCATCTGACCATGGCGGCAGAAGTTGGGAGTGCAATTCCCCACTGTGCCTCCCCACTGTGCCCCACTCCATGGGGTTCCTTCCAGCTGTGCAGCTCTATTATCACTCCAAAGTACATGATAAGGACAATCAGATAAGGGAAAGTAGATGTTTCCTAGGCTTGCATGACTAAACATGCAACCAGAAGCCTGGGAAACAAGAAAATTGTGTGATTGCCTTTTGTGTTTTTACTTCAGCTGAATTTGGCTCACAGGTTTTGCTGACAGGCTGCTAACTCACCAGTGCCGGATAAGAAGGATACCCACTACATTTGGCCCAGACAACTTTTAGCGGTTCAAGGACAGAATTAGAAGCATCAGTTGAAATCCACATACTGCTGTGTCCAACTTCTAAAATAAAAAAATAAAAATTTCAGAATGTCATTCAGCAAGGTTATATATTTAAGCTTATAAATGCAATACACGTGTAGCATAACTGCCACTGAAAACGAGAAATATGTGCCTTCTAGTGACATTGGCATGAAGCAACTGTATGATTTGTATCAGTTTAAAACAGCAATTTCTTCCTCTGCCCTTGGTTAAAAGACAGATAAGTGTGATCATTTTTGTCTTTTCCCCAATCATGAATTTAAATACGACATCTTGCTAATTTTGGCTGAATATGAATACTTCTATAGCTTGTTTCCAAATTCTGTGGAGCTGTATACTTGTTTAGCATGGCATAGGAACAAACATGGCCAAAATACAATTTTTCTCTCTAAGCCATGTATTTCATTACTTAATGACAGTATAAGAGGTGATATGCCTCCCAGCACAGGTTAGTGATGAACTCAGTGCGAGTGGGATGCTACTGTGCCCATATTTTGAGTTACCCATGGACAACTTAGGAGGGCTAGAGAATATTTTAATCCATCCAGCAGGGCTCTTAAGACTTTTTTGATTAACATAAGTTGATTATTTAAGACTGTGGACATTAAAGTAATATTTTCAGATCCGTAATCGATCTTTCAAGATACTAATCACATCAATGTATTCATTTAGACACATACATAGGCAACATGCTGAATACAAAAATACATGTCAGAATTCACATATTCATAAATCTTGACTGTATTCAGATTGAGTTCCATGCAGCAATGTTGGGGAAAGTGGTTATCAACATTCCTTCAAAAGGGCTATACAGGATGAGGGCCTCTGAAGAGAAGCTACACTACAATAAGTTCCCCAATCCACACCATTCTGCAGGTTCAAGCCTACTCTGGCACAATTTCAAGAGTCTGTACGTGCTGTTCTAGAGAAATCCATTTCAGACAATTCCGCATCAAGTGTCTGTATCTAGATCCAATGCACTGGCTTTACTATTTATAACAATTTAACAAAGTAAGAATTAATATCATGAGTGAGAGAGGGAGAGCAGAGAAAAGCAGCTAAGTTGTGATAAGCAAACTTGCTTCAGGAGTGTCAATATTCAGTAGGCCATAAGAACATTTAAGAAAGCACAGTGACTTGATAAACTGTAAGGGGAAAGTTTATAAACATAGAAGCAGTTTTCCACAAACGCAGAATGGAAGTTCAGCAACGCAATGGAAGGTGGCAATAGAGACGTTATAGTAGCTATATGTGGAGAGTGTCATGAAAGACATATAGGAGAAAGAGGTTTTTTTAATCAACTGTGAAACTTATCAGGAGGAAATGCCAAGATCAGGGACCAGGTGGAAAACCTGTTTACACAGAATGACATTATGAAGTGGAAGTAACAAATGACAAAGCCTTCTCCGTTCAGCTGAGCACAAAAGCACACGAGAAAGACAAAAACTTTGGATTTAGAGAACATAGACCCCTAGAAATGGCCAGATATTTATCCTATGTGTTTATAAAAATGTCAGTTACCAGCTGCAATTCTTGCTGCTTTTGCGTAGTTTCCATTTTCAATACATGATATCAACTCACTTCTGTCTTCTAATGTGTGTCTCCGTATAAGCGCTGGTTTTCCTTTTCCACATTTTGGCAGGCTAAAACTAGAAATATTTGAAGTGCTGTAACAATACAACAAGAATTATCTTTTCTGTTGTACATTTTTTACAAATATGATCGTTCACATACCAGAATTATTTTTACAAAATAATTAATGCTTCTGCTGTTGAGGCACCCATTTGAACTGGCTGATCTACATAACCTAGCCAAAATGGATACTATTTCATTTCCAATTCAAACTGATTAACCCCCCCCAACCCTCTTTTAATATTGTAAATACTTGAATTTTAAACTATATCCTGTGTACTGGAACTTATCTTGCTATTTTGCTTCCAGGGTCTCTTTCCATTTGTGGAAAGGTCTCTAATCCAGCAGAGATTCCTTGCTGAGACTGCAAACTGATGGTTTTACTTGTTACAGCTATCCATAACAACTCCCACACTATTCTAGAGGGTTCATCAGTTCTCCAGTGTACATTTGCAGAAGGTATAAAAGAAGGAATTGAGCATCGCCCCCAACATCTCTTCCTAGTGGGAGCATCCCATTTACCAATCTACATCCAGTATTTTGATCAGGCCTTAACTTGAGTTAAAACAGCACATGTTTACCTTGAATTACATAACATGCTGTTACTTGAAGATATACTAGACTCTGATGCACAACGGCGCCGAGGTTCAACTTTTCTTCCTGGAGCATCATCTGATTCTGATTCTTTATTGCCATCTCCAAAACCATTTGAAAGACCTGACAGGTAAACAAACAAAAATCTATAATCTGGAAGTGCATTTTATATTAATACATGTTTCAAAATAAATTCAAGTACATGTTCTAATTTCATCTAACAGGTGTAGCAGGTAGGAAGAAAAATAAGATAATTTATTGAATAAATAAGAGAAACATGCAACAACAACAACACCATGTAGACACCAGTGAACGAACAGGACATTAGGCCAAAAGAACTAATGATCATCTAACAGTACTGCTCCTAAAATAATGCATATAAAACCAAGTCTGATATAAAAGACAAAGTAAAAAGCATAAGTTACTGTTTTGAGAATTTGTAATAAAAGGTTGCACCATCTTGAGTAAATAAAGCACATAAGCCCAAATTTTGACTAGAGAGAATACACTCATACAGGTATGAGAAAAGTCAGATAATGCTGGAAAGTTGCTCTCCCCACATCTGGGTCACTAAAACTCAGTTCATGGATGAAGAACATTGCTTACGCCCATTAGACCTTTAGAAAATTTTATATGCTATTCCATATACAGAATGGTACAGAAGCCAAACATAAAACTGGACAAATCAGGATCACATAAAAGAAACAATTCTTAGTTTTAATCTTATTATTTTATTTCAGCAGGAAGCGGGAGAGTTTAATATAAAAAGGAAATATTTGATAGATGGTTCAACTGACCACCAATAATGACAGCACAGGTATGATGAAAACTGATGATTCTCCTGTGGAAAGCAGACTAAGCACAGAATTATGTTATCTCCAGAGCCTTAAATAAGAGATCTCCTGTTTTGCATAAATAAAATAAATAAATAGTCAAATATAGCAAATAAAGTCATTGCAAGATCATGCAGTGTTTGGTACCTCATTACACGAAAGAGCATCTCTCCCTAAGATTGTCTATCCAGGCCTCCCAGGTTTTGTGTTTGCAGGTGGCCATACCTAGAGAGGCCTGGAAAACTACCATCAGGAGCTGGGTCTCAACACTATGGAATGAGTTACCTGTGCATATATGCCGGGCTCCATCCCTTCTGGCCTTTAGGAAAGAGGTAAAAACTATATTGTTTGAAGAGGCTTTCAGAAACATCTTACCCTTCTGACATCCTCATGGATGCATGAACTGGACATTGATTTTGATTAGCAATCTAGGTTTATTTGATATTTTGGGTTATTAGTGTTTCAGTCTGGATCTCATTATTTATGTTTTTGTGGCCCAGGTTGGGTAGGTGTAGTGCTTAGGCACTAGATGGGCAGGGTACAAATGTAAATAAATAAACAAACAAACTCACTGTAATAAAAGAGAGCTGCAAAACAAGAGTGCAGGTAAAGCCTATGGATAATTTCTTATTCTACAGTTTTTCTACACCTTCAAACACTTTAACAAAGGAAAAATGTATCTGTGTAACATGAGGAAGTAAGGCCAGAATCTCCTCCTCCTTATCATTAGCTAAGTATCTTTGTAGTTAACTAGTAACAGTGTGGAGAGTAGTATATTACTCAAAGATTCTGACAAAAGGGCATCTTTTTCCTCATAACAGTTTATACTAGGAATAGGGAAATTAGTATAAAAAGTAATATTTAATAGTTTGTGTCCTATTACCTAAAAAAATTCCTGAAGCTTCCACATCAAAACTATTCTAGCCCATAATTATGTACATGTATGCTATGCAGTAGTGCATAGGCAATGATGATTCCATGGTTTAAAACAGAAAATATGTGGCACAAACCTCAGTAAGAAATTAGTATTAGATAGAGTAGATAGAGGACTAAATATTCACAAAAATAAAATCATTCCAAAATGGAATATGACTTAAAAAAAATACCAGAATTATACAGCTTCATATAAATGCAACAGAATCTGAAAAATAAAATATTCTGTCTACAACATAAAGAGTATGGATGAGAAGAGAGCTTGAAGGGTCCAATATTGCAGTTCCAAGAACCTAAACTTTAAACATATCAGGCATCTTTAATCTTTGAGCATTAGCTACTACGTATATGATCCATATTCAATTGTTTTGCTAGCTGTGCAAAAAAGGAGAATATTTGAAATTAAAACTAGCAACACAGCTAGATATTTGTACACATACAGTACATATACATGAACTCCATAGTCGACTAAAATTTTATCCCTAAGATCTCTAAACTATTCCACAATTCTGGATGAATTGCAAAAAATACCGAAACTCAAATTCATTTAGCTATATTAAGTATTGCTAAGAACTGCAACAGTTCCATATACCATTCTGAGAGAGCCAAAAGGGTAACTATATTAACACAAACAAGGCAGAAAAAAAAGTTAGTAACAATGATAGAGAAGTACTTAGCTGATGATATGCCATCAAAATTCCTAAGTAATTTCAGTTGCTGTGTTGGGACAACAATACAAGAATCCAAGCTCAAACTTTTCTGCATCTGAGATTTTTGTCAAATTCACCCTAAAATCTCCTGCAGAAGGCTAGCACTGTATTTTCAAAGGCTCATAAAAACTTCGCACAATCTTTCTGCTTATATTGTCTCTGTGAATTATTCCAAGCATTACGTTAACAAAGTACACTTGACTTTCTGCTATATAACTTCACTGAATCTTTTTCAACAAGCATTTGTGACATTTGATGTTAATTGGCTATCAAAGCTCACAGCCAAAACCCCTATTCTGTAGTATTTATTTTCCATTGAACAAGGTTTTTGTTTACAAAACTTCAGCTCACAGTAACTGATATCTAAGAAAGTAGACTTGTCCATGAATGCTCACATTAAAATATAGCAGCTAGTCTTTAAGGTGCCACTTTTTTATTTTTATTTTGTTTTTGCCTGCAAACTAATGTGGCTACCTGTTCTAAGCCCACAACAAGTCAGACAATTATCTACTGTATGGGAACACAAGATATACTATATTAATTGATTAATATCACTTCATTATTTTGACCAGAAACCTAAATATAAAATGTCTATAAATCTGAAAAGATAAACAAAACATATTGGTTTGAAACATTTCATCATACTTAGAATTCAACAAAATCAATGGTCAGTGTAACTTAAGCCTAACAAGTTTCAATGGATGTGCTCTGAAGTATAAATAAAACTGCATTAAACCCACTGCTATTAGAAAACTCCATGTACATTCCCTTTAAGTATTAAAAAGTTTAACTAAGTTACTCTTTATAAAACTGAAACTCCTAAGATTATTCTGGTTTATCTAGATATTAATGGAGGATTAAAGGAAAGACAACTTTTTCATTGATCAAGCAAATGGAGGCACCACAGACTATACAAATACTTTCTGTCATTCAGTGCTTATGTAAGATCATGTATGGGTGTGAAATTGTGTAGATCTGGACAAATCAGGATCACATAAAAGAAACAATTCTTAGTTTTAATCTTATTATTTTATTTCAGCAGGAAGCGGGAGAGTTTAATATAAAAAGGAAATATTTGATAGATGGTTCAACTGACCACCAATAATGACAGCACAGGTATGATGAAAACTGATGATTCTCCTGTGGAAAGCAGACTAAGCACAGAATTATGTTAACTCCAGAGCCTTAAATAAGAGATCTCCTGTTTTGCATAAATAAAATAAATAAATAGTCAAATATAGCAAATAAAGTCATTGCAAGATCATGCAGTGTTTGGTACCTCATTACACGAAAGAGCATCTCTCCCTAAGATTGTCTATCCAGGCCTCCCAGGTTTTGTGTTTGCAGGTGGCCATACCTAGAGAGGCCTGGAAAACTACCATCAGGAGCTGGGTCTCAACACTATGGAATGAGTTACCTGTGCATATATGCCGGGCTCCATCCCTTCTGGCCTTTAGGAAAGAGGTAAAAACTATATTGTTTGAAGAGGCTTTCAGAAACATCTTACCCTTCTGACATCCTCATGGATGCATGAACTGGACATTGATTTTGATTAGCAATCTAGGTTTATTTGATATTTTGGGTTATTAGTGTTTCAGTCTGGATCTCATTATTTATGTTTTTGTGGCCCAGGTTGGGTAGGTGTAGTGCTTAGGCACTAGATGGGCAGGGTACAAATGTAAATAAATAAACAAACAAACTCACTGTAATAAAAGAGAGCTGCAAAACAAGAGTGCAGGTAAAGCCTATGGATAATTTCTTATTCTACAGTTTTTCTACACCTTCAAACACTTTAACAAAGGAAAAATGTATCTGTGTAACATGAGGAAGTAAGGCCAGAATCTCCTCCTCCTTATCATTAGCTAAGTATCTTTGTAGTTAACTAGTAACAGTGTGGAGAGTAGTATATTACTCAAAGATTCTGACAAAAGGGCATCTTTTTCCTCATAACAGTTTATACTAGGAATAGGGAAATTAGTATAAAAAGTAATATTTAATAGTTTGTGTCCTATTACCTAAAAAAATTCCTGAAGCTTCCACATCAAAACTATTCTAGCCCATAATTATGTACATGTATGCTATGCAGTAGTGCATAGGCAATGATGATTCCATGGTTTAAAACAGAAAATATGTGGCACAAACCTCAGTAAGAAATTAGTATTAGATAGAGTAGATAGAGGACTAAATATTCACAAAAATAAAATCATTCCAAAATGGAATATGACTTAAAAAAAATACCAGAATTATACAGCTTCATATAAATGCAACAGAATCTGAAAAATAAAATATTCTGTCTACAACATAAAGAGTATGGATGAGAAGAGAGCTTGAAGGGTCCAATATTGCAGTTCCAAGAACCTAAACTTTAAACATATCAGGCATCTTTAATCTTTGAGCATTAGCTACTACGTATATGATCCATATTCAATTGTTTTGCTAGCTGTGCAAAAAAGGAGAATATTTGAAATTAAAACTAGCAACACAGCTAGATATTTGTACACATACAGTACATATACATGAACTCCATAGTCGACTAAAATTTTATCCCTAAGATCTCTAAACTATTCCACAATTCTGGATGAATTGCAAAAAATACCGAAACTCAAATTCATTTAGCTATATTAAGTATTGCTAAGAACTGCAACAG